TACATCAGACACACACTCATAATGAGCTGTTTCCATTCATATCGATGGTTTTCTTTAGAATAAATTAATGAGTCGATGCTCCGCGTACAGAACCTGTAAACAGTCGTGATGAAATGAGACATTTGGAAACCGATCAACTGAAAAAAACACTTTAATACATCATAATGTACAAATATAGACTGAAGCTGCAGTGATGAACAGGCGAATGTGTCAGAACATCATCAGATCACATTCACCATACAAGGCTGACAGTAGGTGGCGCCGACTGTGACTGAATATTGGTATGTAGGTGTGTTCAGAGCGGGGCCGATTGGAGAATGTACACTGTAAGTAATAACCCTGTAAGTTTGGGTTTGGGGTTCCTTTTTCATGGCAAACACCAACGTTTGACGACACGCCGTTAAACAAAACCTCAAGATTTTGATAAATGTTCATCGCGAATGTCTTTACAGCGTGCTGACCAAATATGAAGTCGATCCGATCGATTCTCTAGGAGGAAGAGGACGAAGTAAATAGCTTTTGGTCTGAAAACCCCAAAATAGATAATATAGCAGCCTGTTTGGGGCTTTTTTAAACATCTAAATGTGTAAATTAAGGATTTATTTTGTCTGTGATTGTTGTAAATACTAACTGACGGGTTTTGTGAGTTTTATTTTGTTTTTTGAAGTGATTGTCTGCTGGGTAAAATCAGTTTCTGTTAAAGGAGTCTGTTGTGGTGCTCTAGTGCGACATCTAGTGGCAGTGAATATCATATATAACCTTTAAAACTCAGTTTCACCTCCACTGTGCGACATCATTACAGATGTGATCAATAACACATAGTCGTTTATTACACATACAATCAGAGAGGAGCTGAAACAGAAAGTGTGTTTGTGTCGTTATTCCTCCTCAGTACTCGGACCCTGTCGCCCCCCCGAGGCTCTCGGAGGTCCGTCAGGTTCGGTCCACTACTGCAGCATTGTAACGATGTGGTTCAGCAGGTCCGGTCTCTTGAAGCGGTCCATCAGTCTGAGACCAGGACAACAGACGAGACAGAGAGAGAGAGAGAGAACAATTTAGAAAATGTCTGATTCCTTCAAACAACTTTAGACTCTGAAACTTTAATGAAATCTATTTTTATTAAGATTCTACCGACATCATCGACCTGATCAATAATTGGTATAAATCCAGATATAAAAAGACTTTTCTTAAAAACACAAACAATCTTTGACACGGATACTTTAGTTTATTGTGAGAACTGTATAGTGACACCGTACGTATTTCCTTACAACCCGACTGACCAATGTAAACTTGTTGATGTCAGTGAAAATGTGTTCTGGTTTTCTCTCTGACGGAGCTGCCGATAGCGAGTTAGCGCAGCATGAAGACGGCGAACACTCGCCTGCGCTGGCGGTCAGTCCTGCTGGAGGAGGGCGGTCCGCCTCTCCAGCAGCCAATGGGACGCGATCCTGCTGGCGTAGATCACATAAGACCAGGACAAGACCACCACGGCCAGCAAGACCTGAGAGAGAAACAGTGAACTGTGTGTCAGCTGGATGAGATTTATTATTATTTATTAAAATAAAGGAGAAAATGTTTACTCTTATAGGATGAATTATAATATTATTATAATCTGCTCATTCTACAGGATGGTAGGTTTGTTTGTGTAGTTTACTGCTTCTTAATAATTATTAATAATCCCTAAAACAATATTGCTGTAATATAATCAATACTTATATTTATTAATACTAATAACTCTGATCATGTGAATCGACCATCGTGTGTAAGTTATAATACGTTTATAGCTACTGCCTCGTTAACTATCGATCATCGATCATAAACTCAGTATCTGTGTTCGAGCTTCCGTTGCTAGGCTACGCGTCTAAAGCGTCCGTTAGCCGTTAGCCGTTAGCCGTTAACCGTTGGACCTTCCCGGGAACAGAGAGCCGGAGTAACGAACCACGGAGTAGATCCTGTCCAGGTCCCGTCTGCTGAAGACCACCATCCTGTGACTGTGACCCAGAACGAACCCGCTGAAGTCCCGGTTCGGTTTCTTTACTCCTCCTCTCTTCCGGTCCTTCCGGTTCTCTGAGCGCGCTGCCGCCATCTTGTGCTCCGGCGTGAGATGACACAGATGACCGTTAGTAACCACAGGCGGCAAAACTTAATTAACTGCCCCAAACTCTTTTATATACGTTTCTTCTACCGTTTCATTTCACTACAATCGATTATTAAAGGTTGAACGACACTCAGGGGCCGTTAGTGTCCGTTAGGGGGCAGCACTGAGCACACGGCCGTTACTACCGTACACTGATGTCTCACTCCGATTCACAATCAGAATCACTTTTGTTGGTGTACACAGAGTGAATAAACAGGCTCAATAACATAAATATAAACTATAATAGACAGTTACACGTTGTTGGGATTGTTGCGGCCAGAAATGTCAAAAATATATTTATTTATTTCTAGAAAATGATGCACGTTGAGATGTTTTTAATTACAGGCCAATGTGAAGGCAGGGATCGATCGGATCCGCATTAATTGCCGCTTCCTGTAGGGGTGATCGATATGTTATCTCTGTCACACATTTACGTTATCGGATTATGTGAATTTAAATGTGATAAAGTGTTTTATTTACATTACAAACAGCAGTTTCAGTTTTGTGTCGGAGTGACTCATCTCGTTTTATTGCAGATCTTTGGCTCTCCCATGATGCCCCGCGGCACGTCCTCCTTCCAGCTGTGTATCAGCGGTTCGGTCCAACAACCGACACAAATGAGTCCGTTATAACGCAGTTCTGGTGTAAACGGAACCAGAGCAGCGGGGCCCGGTGGACCGACGACCTCTCTGCCGGTGGATGCCGCTCCCGGTGCGGAAGTCTGCCCGGAGGAGGAAGAAAACCCCGGATGAGAAACTGCAGCGATCTTCTGCTGCTGCTCAGGTACGTTAGCATGCTAACAGGCTACAAACGGACAGAAACCTTCCCGCGCAACGAGCCGGTTTCTACCGGAGCTCAGCGGAGCGTCAGCCGGCTGCTGCTGCTCCGAGCCGGGCGGGCTGAAGGGTAAAGACCGGTGTTCGAGAGCCGGTTCTCCGATGCTAACAGAGCTAACGATGC